AAATCAAACAATTCCCGATATCTTAGCGCAGATTTATTCTTAAGCCATGTTCAAGTGAACCTTAGTTTTTTGTACGAGTTTAAAGAAAAGCTCCCTTCTTTTGAATCTCCAATGCTATATAACAAAATAAAAAGAAAAATATAACGAGAAGAAGCAATTACAGTGTTGTCTCTAAGTTGTCTGCTGCCCACAAGCTTTTTGTAAACGATTTTACTCAGACTTGAAGGCTTAAGGAATAATAGTTTTTTTAAAGCGCTTGATCCTGTAAATCGCTCGCTTTTTGTAAAGAAGTATGTCTTTTAAGGTAATTTAAGTTCAAAATGAAGGCATTAGAATATTTTATAAGTTATGCATTTTTCTATCGCCGCTCTGCCGCTGCTCAGCCACCGATCGACCGTTGTGCTGCCTAAGGTAGCAAATCACTAAGAGAGAACAATAGAACTGTTAGTTGGGGGTGGAGGTGCAGCACGCTCTTAGCTTCTAGTGTTGGCTATGTATTCCACAGATGGCGCCACCTAGGCTCCGACTGTTCTGTGGAAGAATATTTTGTTGTTTTTTTTTTCTTTCTTGTCATTTTTAGCTTTCTATACTTTTTTGATATAAAGGACAATGTGGACCGTCTAACCTAAAATCGACCCTTTCATAAAATTCAAAACTTACATTCTGATATCCATTTGTTTAGAAATTTGCAGTTGAAAAATGTGAGGAACCTTAAAAGATACATTTCTGATCCACTATAACACTTATATTAAGCTTAGAGGAAAAAAATTAAATGGCTAACAGCTGAAAGATTAACAGAAATGTAATTTTCATATTTTTGGACTATATTTCAACATAACGATAAACATATACTGAAAAACCCAGATGCATTATAGTCAAAAATTCTTCTGGATTCAACACCAGCCATAAGAGGTTCTCTGTTATCATCAGATTAAGCAGAAGAACTTACTGATACCGCCAAAGCTATTTTCTATTCCCGTAAATTCAACAACGAATCTTCCACTACTCAGACATGGATAATTAAAAACCTGGGAATATGCATTTGACTTGAGCAAGACATAAATGTTAATGAACTTAATAAAAAGTTCTTAAACTGCACAGTACCTGAAATCACTTAAAATATCTGAACCCACGATTTGTACCTGAAACAGTCTGTGATATTAGATTTGGGCTTATGTGTGTTAACCAGTGTGATGTCCTTCAGAGTATACTAAGAATTAAGAGTGACTCCACTGGGTCTGACAACATAAGCCCCAAATTTATAAAAATACTGCTGCCAAAGATCCTGTCATACACAACGTATACGTTCAATACTGTATCAGTATCTAAATATCCGGACTGTTAGAAAACGGCAAAATTAATTCCGATTTCCAAATCAAATAATGTGTACAGACCCATCTCCATTTTTCCCATACCTATCAAAGGTTTTTAAAAATCTCATGGCTAATCAAATTAATAAATTTATGTCCGACAATGCAATGCTTAATAATAATCTGTCTGGTTTTAGGAAAAACAGAAGCTGTACCTCAGCTATTTTAAAAATTACAGACGATCTAAGGAAACAAATAGACGAAAACAATATTACACTCTTAGTTTTACTGGACTATGTGCAAAACAATGTAATATGTTTATGTTTTCTAAAACTTATGTCAAACTTGTGTCTTCGTACTTATAAAATCGTTGGAAATCTGTTGTACTGTCTAGCGTTTCGTCTTCATATGAAAATGTTAATCGTGGTGAACCCCAAGGGTCTGGGCTTGGTCCCTTATTGTTTACTATATATGTTAATGTCCTTTAAACAGAACAAATGAGTGTATAGATGTTTGTAACAGAGAATTTGAACGTGTAAATGAATGGGCCGGCAACAATGGACTTGGGATTTTCACAGAAAATATTCGATGTCTTATTAAATGAATGGATAAAGATTGCGTGGCACTGCTAATTTTTTTAAGATGCCCCACACGCAATGCAAGATAAAATTGTTCACACGCCTTAAAAATACTATTACGTAAAATAAAGTAAAAATAGAAGGTGACTTAGGTTAGTTTTTTAAAAATTAGTTTTAAGTGGTTTTGTAATCTAATCCGGCGCAATTCTTCAAAATCTGAGGGCTCTGTTACTTCCTTTATTTTGTGCGCTTTTTTTGTTAATTCCAGTGCAATGTTTTCAGGACCACCATATGCTTTGTTTAGAATGGATAGTTCTACTTAGTTCTTGAGCAGAGATAAGCAGTAGCTTTACTTTTGCTCTTGCTGACCTTTCAGGGCTTTTGAGAGTCGATGAAAACCCAAAACGTTGGCTAGTTTCTTCATAATCGTTAATAAAATGTGTTTATTTAAGCGCAGATGTCCCATCAAAATCCAAGTTTTGTCCGCTTTGCTTCCCGTGCTAGCATTTGTGTTATCATTGTTGTAGTTGATCGGTTTTAATCCTAAGTTTCTTCAATGTTGTGTAAGGGATGCGGATCTTGGCTCTGATGATGACGTATCCAATCCGATGTACGCTCGCGCTGTTGGATCGAATAGAATTCGTAGCAGAATGATCTGAAAGAACAGATTTATCTTTAGAGAATTTTTTTTACTGACCAGAGCATCTTTTTCTGCAAAAAGAAAATTCAGTTCTTTTTCCGCAATTTCTATGGATTCACCCATTTCATCCAACTCCTCTTCTTTGCGGGAAGATGGGTTGTTTCTGATTTCGTAAGTTTGCGTTTGATTTCCATCAGTTTGGCTTCTTTGCCGAAAATTTCTCGCTTTTTTTTCATAACCCCATTTTGTATCATTTTTCCAGGATCACAATTTTTTCGTCAGACCTGATGCTTCGGACCCCACAGTGTCTTCGGTGGCGACAAAAGTTTTGGCTTCTACTATTTTTGTCGCAAATTCGTTTTGTGTCGCGTTTCACACACACTTATGTCGAAGAAGGCGCAGACTCGCAACAACGCGTTTAAACTGATTTCCTTCCCTATTTCCAGCACATGTTCCTGTTTTTCGCATCCGCTCCAAACGCGCGAAGTTGCCTTTTTATTAAGGTTTCCGTGACAAATTTTCGATACACAGCAATGTTGTTAATCTGCTGCTGATTCCATTTCCACATTTTTGATTCGTAGTATTGTTATGGACTGTAGTTCAAGGTGTCAGTGTCAAATTATCGATCCGACTCTAAGGACCACTCTGTTAAAAAATAATCGAGGCTGTTTAATTCTTTATAAACTTTTCTTCTTATTACTTATATTTTCTGCGAGGTGCGATGCTTGGCATCGTTTTTTTTTAGAAAGACCACCCACTTTTTAGATTAAAATACTTTTAAATTAAATCTGGTATTCTGATTCCATTTCCACATTTTTGATTCGTAGTATTGTTATGGACTGTAGTTCAAGGTGTCAGTGTCAAATTCTCGATCCGACTCTAAGGACCACTCTGTTAAAAAATAATCGAGGCTGTTTAATTCTTTATAAACTTTTCTTCTTATTACTTATATTTTCTGCGAGGTGCGATGCTTGGCATCTTTTTTTTTTAGAGAGACCACCCACTTTTTAGATTAAAATACTTTTAAATTAAATCTGGTATTCTTTTATCAGAGGTATTCATACAAATATAAAATAAAGAAACATAAATTGACACCGTTATACTTACCGTACGGTACGTACTGATGACGTTTAATAATCTTGCCGATTGGAAATGATGTAGCCAAAAATTTCTATAAAAATAGCCAATAAATAATGTATAATATAAAGCAAAAAAAATATTTTTTTAATTCAGCTCAACTGACTTTAAGTTTGAGCAAAGCATATATAAAAATTATATTATGAGTTTTAATATTGTATTGTTAAGTGTCATAGCTACGGTTCAATGTTTTTAAAGGGACTTAATTAATATGGGTATTTTTATACCCTTGCAGAGGGTATTATAATTTCAGTCAGAAGTTTGCAACGCAGTGAAGGAGACGTTTCCGACCCTATAAAGTATATATATTCTTGATCAGCATCACTAGTAGAGTCGATCTAGCCATGTCCGATTGTCCGTCCATCTGTCCGTCCGTCTGTCCGTCCGTTTATATGCAAACTAGTCTCTCAGCTTTAAAGCTATCTGCATGAAACTTTCTCAAAAGTTGTCTTTCTATTGCAGGTAGTTTATAAGTCGGAACGAGCCGGATCGGAGGACTATAGCATATAGCTCCCATAGGAACAATCGGAAAAATAAATTTAAAATAATTATAACTTTGCTGTTTTTTAATTTTTTGTTTAGTTCTTCGACATATAGTAATGGTTAAATATTTCCGATTTACGGTTTAAATTTCATCAAAATCGGTCGACTATAGCATATAGCTCCCATAGGAACAATCGGAAAAATAAATGAAAAAAAATTATAACTTTGCTGTTTTTTAATTTTTTGTTTAGTTCTTCGAGATATAGTAATGGTTAAATATTTCAGAATTATGTTTTAAATTTCATCAGAATCGGACGACTATAGAATATAGCTCCCATAGGAACAATCGGAAAAATAAATGTAAAAAAATTATAACTTTTCTGTTTTTTAATTATTTGTTCAGTTCTTCGACATATAGTAATGGTTAAATATTTCAGAATTATGGTTTAAATTTAATCAAAATCGGACGTCTATAGCATATAGCTCCCATAGAAATAATAAAAATATATAAAATAACTATTTAATAATTGAGCTGCAAATCATCATAGTTTCAATGTTTTTCAGCATATACTCAAGTAAATCATAATTTAAATGTTTTCAAAAGTATTTAATTCATGCAATAGCTGCAAGGGTATATGAACTTCGGCTTGCCAAAGTTTGCTTTCTTTCTTGTTTTTATCAGAATTTAGTTTTTAAAACAATGTTCAAGTGTAGCTGGGACACTTAACAATAAAATATTAAAAACAACAAATTTACCTTTAGCTTTAATAATTAATTACAACGCATTTGTTTAAACCTATTTGGATTTGGTTTATTTTTTAAATAAGCTCGCTGCAATTTTCACATTTATAATTAGTTCTGTAGAATATATTTATATTTATTTCAATACCAATGGAAAAGTTTAAGCCCAAGGCTGGGCATTTTTAAGCATGTTTACAGGCACATTTCAGTGTGATTTTATGAACATTATACATACATTTTTTTCCCCTTTTTTTAAAATTATTTTTAAGATTTAGTATACATTAACAAATTTTCTAAAATTTTGAAAATGGTGTTAGCCCTTTGTCCAAAATATTATGTTGTTGCCAATAATGCTACAGTTGAAATACAATAAAAGCAAGAAAAGTTAAATGAATTTCGTCAGATGTCCAAAAAAGTGCAATATTAAAACTAAAAGCAGTCTGTCAAATTTGAATACAGAAAACAATTTTACCTGCGACATTATAGCTCACGCCTATAAACTAGGGAGCTTGTGTCGCAACAACTTTTTGGAATATTGACGAAATATGTTTTATGAGATTTCTTAGACAGGGCCGAATCATTGACATGCTAGGAAAAGTAAAATGTTTGAAAAAGCAGAATATCTAGACTATAAGAGCTAGGCAGTTGGGATTAAACAGAACTTGTGATGCAGGGGCAGGTTATGGAACATAAGTTTTAATTTGAATTTTACTCAAGAGCATCGAAATATCATGGAAAAGTTCAAATAATTAGTTTAACATTATAAAAAACATTTAAAATATATTTTGATACTTTGCTCGCATATTACCAATTATTTGATATGTGTTTTGTATTTGAGCCGCGATTCAACAAAATTTGGAACTTGTTTTCTAAGGAAGTTAGTAATTCGTTGCTCTGAATATAAAATCAGAACCAAATGTAACATATATTAAAATCGATAATTTTGTTGAGAAGACAGTTTTTTTAGTCAGCCACGTCTGCTTTATCTTCTTTTTCATCAATTAACCACAGAGGGCACATTCCAAGCAGGCAGCCCACAGTGATGCCAACAATACGTCCCTATAATGTTAAACGTTTTTTTAAGTCAAATATCTATTTTATGGGTTCTTCAGGTCACATACATAACTGGATGACCGCTTACTAGACTTCAGTTCGAATTGCGCTGGAGTTAACTTGGGCTGCTTCAGACCCAATATCTGGCATCCGTTCTCCACGTAAGTGGCCATTGTGATGCCCAGAATATCACTAATGGTGTTGCCAAGGCCAGCTGCTGCCATCGTAGATAGTGTTATAAAGTGGCCCAAATAATATTCAATATATTCGCCCTGCAAGTTCCATTAGCTAGAAGTAGGATTGTTCTTAGTCTGAAGACAAACTTACCGCCATAATCATGATAAAATTGTCAAGAAATCCGAAGGCTATAAAAGGTACTGCATTTACAAAGAAAACTAATAATAAATGACGATTTATTTGTTATTAGGTTAAAAGTACTTGATCCCTTACTTACTGCTGTACAATTGACCTGCGGAGGGTGGTGCTGCTGATTCAACTGAGAATGAGAAAGAAGAAAAAATGTATGTATAAGCCACTGACAAAAGTGATGTTGGGCCAAGTACGTTGTTATTTTCTGCGCACATCAGAGCTAGTAGCTGATTTAGTTATTACCCATTTTTTTTCGCAGCCAATCATCTGGCACAGCACAATAAGTGCCTGCAATGACCTGACCCAATGCCGCTTTATGAGAGAGTCGTCCGAAGCGAGTGCGCCAACTGCCAACGGCCAGCTGGCCTGCAAACCCGATGAAAAATTCAAGTGTCACGGTGGTGTAGATGGGACGGTTGCGTGTTTTTTGTTCCAGTGTTGTTTGTCGAAAGTGTGTAGCCGATTAGAAATATATCGAAGATGGAAATCAAAAGAAATATTAAATTAAAAAATATTAATTTATAAATGGATTAAAAAAAAAATAAAGTTGTTTAATAACATGAAGGTTATGATATTGTGGCAGCCGTTTAAAATTATATTTAAAATAAAAGAAAGAGCTCTAAAGTCGAGTTTCAGTTCTAAGCAGTGGGATAGCTAGACAGGCAAGTGCCCTAAAGCAAAACGATATTCAGAGCCAAGGAGGAATGGTTTCAAAAAAAATCAGCAGGAGCACATTAACGGAGCATTGCCTAATTGGAGTTAAGTTATTATCGATCATCTGCCTTAAGAATCTCAAGACAAAACATTAAAGTCCGTGATTCTGAATAATTAATGATACTGAGCTTGTCCATTACAATCTCTTACTCGGCCTAACGGTAGACTCCTTTCTCCTCGCTCTCATCCAGACGCGGCGGAGTGCAGTACCTTGAAACTTGGTTGATCTGGTGAAGTAAGGCCTTAGAAAAGGAATTGATGTCGTCTGCGGTAGGAAGAGAAGGATGGCCCTGGACCAGGGCAGAAAGTCGGGCACCGAAACATTTTTATCTGAATCACGAGGCAAAAAACTGATTTTGGCGTTTAATATATTTATATAAGCATATATGTTTGCTTACAAATGAAATGGGTCCAATTACTCGTTCGAAACAGCTAACCTCGAATTGCTCTCAAATAAATATCTTAACGTAAAAAACTGGGAGCTGAACAATTTATTTTGTTGATCGTCTCCTTAGGCAGACTTACAACAATGTAACTATCCTAATTAACAGTCATGATGACTGCCTAATCCGCTATGTCGTTTCGATTTAACAGGTTTTTGTTTGAAAACCGAGTTAAACCCCTTTCCAGATTTCTGTCAAAAATAAAAGCCACTAAATAAAAACCTTCGAGTAGCTCCTATACACACACTTCCCTCCTTATCCTTAGGAGGTAATGACTTTCAACATTTAGGACTCCCTTGGCGAACACTGAATACTCGACATCTCAACTCCTTTAGGCCTTTTAAATCCCCAGGACTAGACTTTTTATTTTCAGCACAACAGCAAACACCCCTCTTATAACACCTTTCGAAAAGACAATTTCCCCTTTTTACTTAAAATATAGAAAAACAATGAATAATAATAATAAATAAATACCTTTTCTTAACATGCACCCAACATGCTTGTTAAAAGTTGAGCAACCGTTAGTGGGACTCATTCACTCGATGGTTGTGGCAGAGTTGTGACCTCAAGCTAATAGAAGCGTTAGCCGAAGAACTCAAGGGGTAGTCCTCTTCCATTTACTATGGCTCATGGAAAGCAGCCCTATCAACACTCTCGCAGGTAAGTGGCCTAGTAGTCTTCCCAAATAAAACGGAACTGGTCCTGTCCACTATTAAATAGAGAATACCACCCATTATACAACAAACACGCTCTATCTTTAGCGGCAAAGATCAATACCTAGAGTTTATACTTGAGAAAAACAACTCTGCAAGAAAGGAGCTGGGCGCATCCTTTTCATTTCAAAATTGTATATGATGTTGTTCCAGCTTCATTGTGTGAGCTTCGTTTAGACACATGGTATACTTTTCGTTATAATACCAGCACGCTGCAAAATATTTTACTGCTGCTGATAAATCTTCGCTCTTTTAAGTCTGTCAATTCTTTCTGTCTATTCTCCACTTCATCATTACTCGGATTGCGCTTTCATATCGCATGCTATTATTAAGATCGCCTTTCCTTCCACCAGGTTATTCGGCAATGCATTTTTTTCCCATAGAATGCCACTCTTCTTTGGCTTCTACAAAGGTCGATAATCCCGGACTGGAAAACAATATTTTTTTAAATATTTCTGGTATGCAGCTTAAGGCTGCTCCTGTAAGAATACAAAAAATATAGGTATTGTGTTTACACCCAATGCTCTAAAGGTGGAAGCGTAATTCTAAAAGACCTCCATTAAGCTTTGATGACTCAAACAACTTATATGTTACTTATCTGCTTTGTCTGGTACTTTCTACTAGTTTATCGAAATATCTGTCAATAGGATTCTTTATTAACAAATAGAAAATGTTTTCTTTGAATTACGTAAATCCGTTTCAGCATAAGTTCGTTCAATTTCGGCCCACCATTATAAACTTAGCTGTGTTTTGCAATAACAGTTCCGGTCTTGTAAGAATTGCTCTCAGGCTTTTATTATTGATTTTTTTCTTTCTAGAGAGTAGTGAATACAGTGTGATGGTTAATGCAAAATTCTCCAGCGCCTATATTGCTACTTATTTTCTACCTCAAGTGCTCTTGTGGTGCTGTACATGATACAATCTCATGTGTTTTACATTCCCATAGTATCCATAATGTTCGTACGGGATCTTGTCGTTGGATGCCCTATTTTACTTGGACTAGCAAGCCCTGCTTAAATAAAGACCCAAATGAATTTTAAAAGGCAACAAATTATTATAAGGGAGATAGGCATAATTTGTTCTATAACAAAACAGTGCTGGCTTATTTCTAACTTATTATTAGGTTCATTTAATTTCATGTAAAACTAGCCATATATGGACTTGTGAACAATCCGTTGGCTTAACTGAAATAAATAAATAAATTTAGATTTAATTTAATGTAAAACTAGCCATATTACGTTTTATGAATAATCCATTGGCCAAACTAAATACAAATAATAATATCGTAGGTAATATAACAACTTAACCAGTAAAATTGAATATGGCAATTTTTATGGACTTCAGTGTGTGGAACGGGTCTAAGCTGAACACACAAACAAGAGGCGAAGTCTACCTCACCGAATTGGATATTAAAAATACCTCATTAATTAGGATTTTAGATGGTGCCATCTGTCGAAATATTTGCATTTTTCGCTAATAGCTTTTTTATTAATGATCCAATTTCGAAAAGTATTTTGTTATAAGTATATATATATTGACCGAATAAACATATACAGCTTTACAACTCTACAATGACTTAGAGGGACATGACAGACTTTCACGATTTGTGAGCGTTAGTTTTTCATCAGTTTTTCTAAATATCTGGAAAGATTATTTTAATATTCCACTCCATAACAAAATGGAAACGGATGTCCAATATTGTAGAGGTTTTTTCTCATTTACAACACTAGTGTTCCTCGCTTATATCACCTTATCAAAATAGTTTTATTAAATGAAGGGCACGAACCTACTTGAATTGACATCTATTGTAGTTCCATTGCAGTCAAAGGTTTTTATTACACAGATTTTAGTAAATCGGGTTTCTGAATGATCTATTAACGATTAAAAAAAATCGGTGCGTCCTGGCTGACATGATTACAAGCCTTGTAGAGATCAGAAAACAAAAAATTAACAAATTCTTCATTAATAAATTTGACGCTTTTGAGTTGACAACTTAAAAAAATAATAATAAAAATTACAAAATGGTGTCGACTTGAAACCAATAAAATTTTTTTACCCAAATTTTTTGAATATTTTAAAAATACTTTTAATCAAAATTATGTTTAGATCCGGAGCAGACGCGATAAAGTTTTATAAACAATATACATACCAAATAACGCTTGACTTGAAGGTTTTATTTTTTTGATTAAAAAATAAAACTCGAACTTCAATTTTTTTGAATATATAACCTATTTTTGAAAAAAGGTTCCATTCCTAAGTGGACTACGACCAACATTAAAAATTTTCTTTTGGTTTCTACAAAAACCGAAACCTGCATTAATATTTATGTTTAAATCTCTCCATAACTTGCCGAACTGGAAACTAACACAAGCCAGAAACTAATTGTTAAAAAAGCACAAGATTGGCCCAGCTGATGTTTGCCTGATCAATTCAATGGTTCAATCCATTTTTGTCTGAAGTTTGCAACGCAGTGAAGGAGACATTTTCGACCCTATAAAGTATATATATTCTTGATCAGCATCCGTCTGTCTGTCCGTCCGCTCCTACGCAAACTAGTCTCTCAGTTGTCTTCCTATTGCAGGTTGTTGAACGATCGGGACCGGACGACTATATCATTAAGCTCCCATAGGAACAACCGTAAAAAAAATTAGAACTTTGACGTTTTTTAATTTTTTTTTAAGTTTTTCGATATTTAGTAATGATTTATAATTTTGGAATTACGGTTAAAATTTGATCAAAATTAAAAAATTTGATCAAACAAGACATTTGCAAGAACAGAATAATACCCCGTACAAAACTCCAATGACCCAGCAAACAGAAAAAATTAAATTTTTAGCAAGCATAAGTATCGAAACCCTTTATATCTGAACGTCTCCTATACCCAACAATAGCTGATGAGTTTGAGCTGACGTGCAAACAATCATAGCTAGTCCAATCACTACTTCCAAGGTAGTGCAAGTGTGATGAAAGTTACCAAAACATTTTGTGTTATAGAACTACGACCTTCGAGTGTTTCACGGTTGAAGACGGAATTATTTTTTATAATAGATTTATAGACCTAGATTTATTACCCTAGATTTAGGGTTTTTTTGACAGTCTAAAGGGACTTTTATGGGGAAAGTTTATTGTTTTTTTTTTAAGAATTTTACTATTCAGCTCTGTGTTCTTTATTTAAAAAATTTACCAAATAGAGAAATTGACTTATTTGTAAACAAGACTACAAAATATCGAACACCAACTTTAATTTTCATTTCCGACCCTATGAAGTATATATATCGCTAGGAGAGAATGACGGTTTAAATTTGATCAAAATCAGACGACTTTATCATGTAACAAAAACTGAAACTTCCCTGATTTTTATTTTGTATACCCGTTACTTGTAACTGTAACTTCCCTAATTTTTAGTTTGTATACCCGTTACTTGTATCTGTACCTTCCCTAATTTTTATTTTGTATACCCGTTACTTGTAGAGTAAAAGGGTATACTGTAATCGTT